CGAGTTCGGGTACGAGTATTTGCTTTGGTTTTTGGCCGCTTCCATTTGGCATTGTTGTGGATGCCAGCCAAATTGCAACGATTTCAGCTTGGCTTTCAATGCTCAATGCATCCTGTTTGTGGTCCTGGTCCTCGTCCTCGTCCTCGAACGTGATGCACGGAACTAGGCTATGCTCCTGGGACCCTGATTAAACTGCAGAGTCGAGAGCAAAAAGAGTTCAATTTGCCAGCGTGGAGCAGAGCCAATCGAGTCTCACACAAATGAGGCCACATTTCAATGCATGCAAATGGACTTCGTGGCGGGGATTTGTATGCGCGACAGAGGACATTGCCTCCGTTTGTTGACACAACGTACCGATTGTTTGGCTGGCAATTAAATAAGTCACAAGTGGCTGCTGAATCGCTTTCTTATTTCCTGCTTTACTATTTGCTCAGCCTTTGAGGGCGTGGTCTGGACTTGATTAATTTATGACATTATTATCCGACATTGGGCAACCAAGTCACGTGATGGTTCCCAACCACATTAGTATAGGTTTCAGTGATTTAATTTCCCGCTTTGGCTGTCCTCGAGAGTCACTTGCAATTACAGCGACGATTACGTGCAAACGAAGGCTGCTCAATCCCATCAGCGAGAGAGAGACTAAGTGTCATTCAATAGGCTCGCATCGGCAGGGAATAGTTTAAGAGTTTGCTTCGAAAAAAGTTCCTCCCTAATTGGCTTTCAATTAAGAAGAGAAAAAGTCGAAAGTCTGGTGACTCGCAAATAAGTTTGCATTGAATTTTGGTTAACTAAAAGCCAGATGATGATGAGCAGGAGTCTAAGCCTTACCAAGCACTTGCCACATTTGCGCTGCATTAAAAATGCATTTTCATCTACTCCTCAGCACTTCCTGCTCCAGTGTGTTTAATAGTCTATGCAACAATGTCTCTGTGTGGATGTTTCTGCAGGAGTTTGTGCTGCTGGGTAATGCTGATGGCAGCCATGCTATAATTTGAGCATCATGAAGTGCACTTATCACGGCGGTTGCCAAGCACTGCCTCAGGATAAGCATCAGCTGAGTGTGTTTGCCAGCGGTTCAGGGGAAAAACTGCATTACATTTACCACCAGCCAAAGATCGTAGCAGCAATCCTCGTAGCGATGCATTCCACATTCTATTCTCCGGGCATCCTTTGGCATTGCTTATTAAAACATTCCCCCCGAAATCCCTGTGGCTAGAGCATTTGACTTTGATTGCCATTTGGACAACGCGTCGTATGATTGTTTTTAGCATGGGCAAAGAAGAAAGCCCGAGTCCGACGTGAACTCAAATTGATTTGTGCACGTGCCCAGTTAGCTAATGAGGACTCGAGAGTCAGAGTGGCCAATGCACCGGAGCTTGGCTCTGGCATACCGAAATGCTTTACAATTGTCGCTGACATTTTGCATTTTTTGTAACCTTTCGCCCCCTTCCTTATGCTTGTTGCAACTGACAGGAACGAGGGGACATGCAGCTGGGTGGCACAGGATACATGCTGGACAGCTGCCAGGTCAACTCTGTTGGCCATGTTCACTTAATTACAGCATTAACACACACCCACACACACACCCTAGGGGACAATGGAATGGCAGGAAGGTACAGGGACAAGAAGTGGAACTGGATTGGTGGTTCATCCGCTCTGAACTGCATTAAAGTTTTATAATAAATCTAATGGTCAACCAGGACAAAACTGTAATTTTGTTTGTTTGCTCGCAGGCGAAGTGACAAGCGGACAAGATGCCCCAATGTGGGGTTGTGGGGGGAATCCCTTTGTCTTTGCTATGTGTGACATCGTCTAATGGTGCATTCGTGCATATGAAATTGCTGTCAACAAAGGCTGGGTCCAAGAGCAGACCGAGCAGGAAGCACATCCGCCCCGCCACAATCGCAGGATGTGCTGCCCTAATGTGTTTGTCAGCCATGGAAGCCATCGGGCGGGCAGGCCATGGCCCACAAGCGAGACCCATTCCCGGGCCATAGTTATGGCCAACACTGTCTGACACATTCACCCGCATGTCCGGGGGACTTTAAAGTGCTTGGGGAAATCAGCGGCAAATCGAAAACTGAAAATGAAACGAAAGCAAAACGAGTTTCGTGTTAAATGTGTGTCGCCAAAGCGATTGATAAACGCCCAGACAGACCACCAGCTCCCACACAGTCCTCCTCCTCCTCCTCCGCCTCCTCCCTGTGGGCGTGTCTGATTACGCACCTGGGACCACACGACGTGTGCCGCAAATCGAAATCAATGTCGACAGTTGACAGTTTTAATTTTCCTGCGAGCGACACGTTTAAAGACCAAAATGCGCAAAAATTCCCGATAATTTCCATTGGTCACAAGTCACAGGGCGATGGCAACGATTTCCTCCATTTCCTGCGAAATATCCGAGCTCGTAATTTGAGTTCCAATAAGTCACAAGGCAATCACTTAAAAACTGTTTGAACTATGATCCCTGGACAGTTACAAGAACACCTTCGAGTGGCATTCGAAGCGAATAGTTTGTTTGTCTCTGTCTCTCAAGTGCATTTCAAACAAAACAGATTAAAACTGAAAACTGAATATTTTATGGGGGAAAATGTGTGAAACTTTACAGGTCACGTGGCTGCTGGCAAAACGCCACTCCCCATAGATTTAACAGCCCAAATGGCCAAAAGATTTATAGTGGCCAAAAGTGTTGGCCAGAACCTGGCCTGGGCTATTCAGTGCGTGCTGTTCGTGCTGGTTAAAAACTTTTCGATGGCCACATTCCCAGAAATTAACGAAGCTGCTGAGCAGCTGTAACCCCCCGGACAGACACTCGGCCGGAATCTAGTCCGTGTGTATCGCTTTCGTGGCTCTTTAGGTTGTTTTTCTTTTGCTCCTGTTTTGGCACCTGCTGAAAGTTGGGTTTTTGGTTGCCACACGGCGCGTCGGCAGCCAACTAATCTGTTAATTTATGTTGAAAAGTTCAGCAAGTTCTGAAGCGCTTAGCAAACAAATTGCAATAAATTATTAAGAATATTTGCGCACAACACAGGCGGGCATCAGCATCGAGGTGTGAGAGCCGCTGCATGGTGACTTTTCCTGGCAATACATTCGCAGTTTTTGTGCATTTCATTAATTTATGTTGCGTTCCTTGCCAAAAGTTGCTGTTTGTGTGTGTGTGTGCGGGATAATTTGATTGCGCCACAGAAAAAGTTTACATTGCCAGGAGGCGAAGTTCACACGCAAAAGATAAACACAAGAGGCGGGCCAGCCTTGAATGTTGCCTCACTGCACGTCCATTCAAAAGTGGCTAACGAAAAGTTAAAATGTTCTTATGCATAAGTGATGCCGCTGTTGCCCCATTCTGTTGCACGAAGCATAGCGCTCGGCGGCTGTCCTGCCCCGTCCTGTCCTCTTCTGGCGACAAAGTCCTCACGAAGTGTCCGCATTGCAGTTGTTTCCGTTCCGCTTCGTCGCACTTCGTTCCGCTTCTGCGACATGAAAGCTTAATGACGTAATTAACTGTTTGCGTTGGCGCTCAGCTGCTCAGCTGCTCAGCTGGCTGCTTGAAATCGCGTATACGCCGCGTGTGGTGTCTTGAGCCGCGATTTAAAAGCATCGCGTGACCCATTTGCACGGCCTGCAGCCCGCCATGCTCAACATTCAAGTGCAACCTTCGGCTGGAGCGTGTGTCACTTTATCAGCATGAATCTCACAAAAAGCCGTGACACAAATTTGTCCGGCCAGAAACAAAGTCAAATATGTACACATAGCCAGCGGCAGGCAATGGGACGGTTCTGATTGGCATTCGGATTGCGATTTGGTGTCGGTGTCGGGGGCTGGTGTTTGGGGGCTGTCTGGCATTTTGACTGCCTGCCTGAACAGGAAATGGCTGTGAAAACATTTGAGCTTCAACCTGCCGACAAATTAAGTTTGATGACTTGGCGCAAAAAGGCAGTTAGCAGGCGCGAATCCATTTCCGCCGCTTAACGTCATTAAAAGCGCTGAAATTGAAATTTCGGCCAGGGCTACAAAACTAGAAGCAATCACAGATTACCATTTCCATTCCCATTCCCATTCCCATTCCCTGAGCAACTGCCACAACAACAGCATAATAGGATCAGGATGTGGAGGTGGAAAAGGAGCCAAGGCTTCTCAATTCTCAATTGGCTGCGTATGAAATGAAATTGTCAACTGCAATTAGCGCGCTTAATGCATCTTTCGGATGCGAATTGACAGTCTGACGGCCTCGGCTGTCAATCCGCTGGGCTGTTGGGCTGTTGGGCTCTTTGCCCACCTGCCTGCTTGTCAGACCCGACCTGTAAACGCATCCTGGAGGACTCTGGCAAGGACAGACGAGAGAAGCCTTGCCACACAGCACTCAGACATGCATGCGTTGCTCACTCGCCTCTCCAAGTTGCACATTTAAAGACTACGGCGACTCGAGTGCCCTTCTGACTACTGATGGCCCTTCACCTAACCCCTCACACACACACGCCCAGACACCACCACACGTGAGCAAATGCTGTTTTGCCTGTCTGCAAATTAAATAAACCCCAAAGATTACAAACTTATGGCAAGAGTGGACCTGGCATTAAATCCTTTACAACGAATGTCCCACAAATATGTAAGCGCTGTTTCAGATTCTTCAACTCAAATTAAAATTATTCAGCATAATGGTTCTCTTAGTGTTAAGTTTGCGAGAAAGAACAGCATAAAGTTATCTAAAAAAGTACGTTTGCTTATATCTCAATATGGGAAACAAGTGCTCGCAAAATGATTAGCCTAATTCTTCGACATTATCGCTATAATAATCCTTTCAAATGATGTTCCAGCTGACTGAATTAATAGCCTACTGGTTCATCATTAATTAAATTGTATATAAACTTAGGCGGTTAAATCAGCACAGTAATACGATCATCGGGCTTAAAACTGGACATGTCCATGGCTAAATCGGATTGTGGGAAACATTTTTATATACCTGTTGCTGGAATAACTACAAATATGTATTTAATTTGACCTAGAACATAATTTTTATTTTATTTTTGCATCAGATTTGCATAAGGATCAGTCGGAGATTTGGTAGCTAATTAAGTACTATTCATGGCACACAATCACTTGGCCTTGCAGCACTTGGCTCCTGTTTTGGCGGCGCATTGGCACTGGGTGTTACCGGCACAGGTGCTTCCGCATTGGCCCGATGTGCACTGGCAGTCTGTGGATGAGGAATTCGTTTTATTATAACTTTATTTTAAGGGTTTATAATGTTGTACTCACTGTTTCCGCATCCTTTGCAAGGCATCTTGTTGTTGGTTTTGTTTTAAATTTGAGCGTTGACTGCTAGGACTGGTTGAACCGTTGGAACTTGTTTGATTCCCTGTGTCTGAAGATTGCTTGCTTTATACCCAGTCTGAGGCTATTGAAATTGTATGTTTCTATAGTTTAGCTGCTGATTAGATAAGAAAGTCGTGTGCAGTTGCGCTCGTTCAGCGTGCGCAAAAAATTTACGCGTTTTTCTGTGACCATAGAGACAAAGTCGCTTTGCGCACGCCCCCTGCCCTGATAAGACCACATAGAAACACTTCGACTGATTGGTGACTAGCAGGATTCCCCTCTGGTGGTGTGCAAAGTCAAACAAACAATTGAGAGTGCTATAAATTGGCAGAGTCGCTTCTCTGGAAACATCAGAAAGCGTTTGCCACCAGCAGAGTCAGTAAATTCAGTATCTAAATCTTAAAAATACAAATTCTAAAAACAAATATGGGTTGCAAGGCTTGTGGAACCAGTAAGTTGTTATAAATAAGATCAAAAATCGAAATGCTAAATAATTAATCTTAACCACAGACTGCCAGTGTTCGGCCACCAAGTGCGGAGACAACTGCGCCTGCAGCCAGCAGTGCCAATGCGCCTGCAAGAATGGACCCAAGGACAAGTGTTGTTCCACCAAGAACTAATAAGGAATATATGTGACAGCTCCTCTGGCATACAGTGATTCGATGGCATTTAATAATGTGTAAATGAACATGTAAATTTGTGTAACCTAATGAAACCTAATGGATTAAAAACAAAATGTGTTTGTAGTTTGAAAAATCAAATCTTTATTGGCCATTTTGACAAGAATAGTTCTTTAGTTGTTTCCCACAAATATATTTCCAAACTAGACACACAATTAGCGCTTTTGAAATTAAATTTAAAACACAATGTCAACATTTAAATACATTCAATTCACATCCCAATATCAACTGTTGTTTCTAAACGAGCATTGCACATACATGTAACATAGAACATATAGAAGAGTGCGCTCGAATGCATCTGTGTTTCTTTTTGGGAATGTGTTGTGTTTGTGTTGTGGTGTGATTTAATGCGTTAGTTTTACAATTAAACATTAACAACTTTACGTACACACAGATAAACATTTCGATTTGCTCGAAATTGAATTTGTTTTTACAATATCAAATACACAATCGCCTGCTTCTGGGCGATGTAAAATGTTTGAAAATGTTTATTAAATTATTTCTTTATTTGTGTCAGGGTTTTTTTGTTGTTGTAGGAGCTGTACTTAAGTCTTATAAAATTCTTACGGTTCCTGGTTCAAAGCTAAGTGTAGCATAGTGTAGTGTAGTGTTTTATGGTTGTGTAGAAAAAATATGATTACGTTGTCATATAAACATAATGTACCTACATATACATAAATGTATTTCGTGTGCTCCACCCTTTAAACTGACTAAAGGCAATCGCATTTGTTGCATTTGAAATGCATTGCAAACTGTGCCCTGGACTCTCAAAACTCGTACTCAAACTCAAATAATTAAAAAATATACATCGGATCGGTTAGATTTTTGCGCATTTTCAGCATTGGAAGCCAATAAAGGGGGCGTAAGGGTAGGGTGGTTTCTCTCACATAAAGCATTTCACAATATTATGTAAATAATACAATTAAAACTAAAACGCAATTACAATTTGCCTTGCTGCTTCACCTCGTTAAACTTAGACCTTAACTCGAAGGTAGTTTAGTTGCTAAGATTTGAAAGATCGTTTACAAATAAATCCTTTAAAATTACAAAATCAAAATCAAAAATGTAGATTCAACAAATAGTTACTCACTAACTAAATCGATTCTCTCGTCACAATCCGTCGTAAAATTAATGCCTTGTCACACAGTATTAAAAAAAAATTAAACATATATCTTCGTATCGTATTGTATGTATAAAAAAATATATTTATATAGGCATGTAGTGTATAAAAAACGAATAACATGCGGACACATTCCAATGGAAACCCAAAAGTTCACACTCTCGAATTAATCACACATTATTATGGTCTGGCTGTGTGCTGCAGGGTGTTGTGTGTGTGGAGGTGTGGAGGTGTGGTAGCAATTTGCATGCATTGATTGCTCTTGGTACAGCTGTTTGTCGTTTCACAAATGCTGCAAGAACAGAATAGAATGGATTAAAATAATGTTCGATCAAATCAAACAAATTCAACTAAATACAATTTGCTATTCCTTAATTGTAGCTGGAAGGTAGGGGGTAGTGTAGGTACATGATTGTAATTGTTGTGTATAAATATATAATCTATTTATGTATATAATCTGTGATAATTCTGTTTGTAAATTCGTAAATTCATTCCTTTCCCTGTACGTCTATCTAGTCTTACAATACTAAACGGATCCTTGACCAGTGAAACCAGGCTTAGTACCATCCGGGTGTCCATACGGCGATTCACATGGACCTCTCGTATCATTTTGTATAGCGAGAAACGGCAATTCAATTGATTTTTCAAATACGTTTAACAACAAACATTAAATATTTAGCATAATAAATAGCTTATTTTTCGTAAAATTTTCCGCTTAGATCCCGCACTCTGTATAACGATAATTAATGTATATATTTTTAACTAAGACTCGATTCGTTCCTTCGTTCGTTGTCTTTTATATCTTTATCTCTGAAGAAAAACACAACTACTAGAGTGCATTATAATACTTTTAAGGGTGTGAAGGATGGGTACAAAAGAAAAGAGAGTTCGAATACATACCAAAACTAAACATGCCTCAACGATGCATTCCAAATCTCTTACAATTACATTTTAAGTAAAAACTTTACGATAAAAACTTTTTTAAGAAGCAGTTCCACGATGGCTGCCAATCGCTGCTGGGGGAGAGGAGGGGCATATCTATATCATCTAGGTCGGGGCGGGGGCATCCACACGGCACACTTTTAATTGTTTACAAGATCTTTTGTTTATACATGGGTTCTATATATATATATATATATATATATATATATATATAGTATATATATGTTTTGCTTGTTTATAGTTTATACACATCGACAAAGTTCGATATCGAATCAAAATCCGCCATTCCAAATTCACCGGAACTAAAGTCGTTGGTAGTAGAAATCATGATGATTTGTTGGTGTGGATAAAAATTAGAAGGAAAGAAAAATAAACATTAATAATGAAATAGAAATTGGTTTGGGAATATCGTGCAAATGGTAAGAATGGTTAGTGAGAAAGGAAAGAGGTTCATGTGGGTTAGTTTTTTGTGTGGCATAAATGTGTAGATATGGATGGTATGGCAGAGAGTTTAAAAGCAAATGGAATTTGGTGCCCCTAAAAGTATCTCTTTTTTTAACAATTATCTTTTTTAACAACGACAACATCGAAATTGAGCATTCGGATCGCATGCAAAAACTACAACAGCAACAAGCAATCAATCAATCAATTTATCAAGCAGGAAAAACGGACAATTTTTTGTTTTAAATGCATGCAAGAAAATGTTAAATTCAATTAATGCCGAACGTAAAATCGTTGGCCTGCGTTTCGCTTAATATTCTTAATGTTAAAATTTAATTTTTGTATGCTGCTGCCTTGGCTGCTGGTTTCAGCATAGAGATCTCAGATTTATAGGTGCATGATGGTGCTATTCTGCAAGCTGCGTTCATAGCCAAATAAATAGAAAAAAGGAGAATAGAAGAATGGTTAGAGGAATATCTTTTATTTTTAATTGCCTGATTTATTGGCGCTTCGTTCACTTCGCGGCTGAAAAAGTCTAAAAAGATGGCAATACTTTGAGCAAAAAAACACAATAAAAACGACTGTAAACATAAACATAAACATAACATTTGAGCTTATATACGTTATATCATCTCTTACGTCTGAGCTGGCTACTGTTAGTAAAGTTTTATGGGGAGCAGCAGCGCATCTGAAACTGATTCTGATCTAATGATTGCGTGGGTATGGCTTTGCGTGGCGTGACATGACTGGAGACGAGTGCTGCTGATTAAATGCTGGTGGTGGGTGTAATGAGCATGAACTGATTGATCGATCGATTTATTGAGGGGAAGGAATCAGCGCATCAGCGGATCAATCAGATGGAGAGAGAGCGAACAGCTTTTAGCAGTTGGCAGAAGAGGTTGTTTGGTGGAGTCTGATCGAGGAGAGTGATTTTTTGGATGCGGAATATTTATACTTAAGTAGTTATACCTCGCTGCCAAATGATTCTACATCATTGCACTCATAATGGTGGCCCTGATCTGATGGAATATGGGATCATCGGGTGATGTGCCCGCCACATATCTCTCTAGGGCATCCGCCACAGAGCTATCATCCGAATCAGAGTCGTCAAAGCTGTGAACACCAAAAGGAACACCAGAAGAGCACCAAAACAAATCAACCGGTGCATAAATTAGAGGATGAAAGTAAATAGAGAGTACAGTAAGTGGTGCTGCATTGTAATTAAATTAAATACATTTTGGGACAGGGCTGGGGGGTTGAGAGCTCTATACAGGGCCCAGCTTGGGGGTTCAATCATATCAGTTTTATTTACAAAATTTCTCGGTAGAAAGTCGATTAGTCAGGCAGAGTCTCCTCCCCTTTCGGTTATTTCTTTTTTTCTCGAATTCAAAGTATTGCAATCTTAGTTAAACTTTTTTTAAATCAAAATCAAAAACAAAACAACGCAAAAGCAAAGCAAATAAAATTCATGGAAAGACCAAATACGGATCTTCCTGTAGCGCTGTTAGATTTTAATATTTTTGTTTTTTCTGGGTGGGGGGAGTCATTTCATATCATAGATTAATCGTTTTGTTGCGAAGTCAGTGATGCATGTTAGCTCTGTGTGTGTGTGGAGGGGGCATCGGCCATGCAACGAAACTTACTTTCCCATCGACATGCTGCTATCCTGCGGTGGCGAAGGTATGGGATGCTGTGGTGTCCCAATGATGGAACCATTGTCTCCAATCGTATTGCGCACCTGGACGTGTAACGTGCTTCTCACATAGCCGGGAGTGGGTTCTAAGTAACATCAATATGACCATTAGCAAATAACAACAAAAATTAATCCAACTTTGGAGTGGGCAAATCATATACCATTCGTACCGGTACGTGGTGAATAGAACTCGCCAAAGGCTCGATCACGCTCCTGGGGCACTGCATTGGTGTCGCTCGGATGCAGCCAACGCAGCATATTTAAATCACGTATGCGATCGGCCAGATTAAGGATCTGAAAATCACGTGCAGTCCATGGCGAGAGCATGGTAACCGATCCGTATTCATTCACATACGCAATGGTTACGCCACCTGCACATAATGACAAAAGTCATTAATTATTATCCATCCATATGTCTATTTGCATAAACCAATTGATGGTCCAATCACCCACCCAATTCACTGTCGGAGAATCGCAACAGAAAGGTACCAATCCCGGTGGCCGAACGCATCAGATCATCTTGCGCCTTGACCTTGTTGATGAAGCCCATAATGCAGCTGGCCTTCCACATGCCCATCAGATGGTCTTTGGTGAGTTTCATGATGGCAAAGAACCATTCCCAGAAGGTGAACGGGCGATCGGGCAGCGGCTCCTTGCAGAACTGATTCCACGTAATATATTCACTGCGCTCATCGCGCTGCAGCTTCTCGTCTAATCAGAAACAGCAAGAGGCATTTATCAGTACAAAATCACAGGACACCGAACAGTTCTTAAACTCACAGAGAAAGTCCAGGTTATCCCGGGTTAGGGCTCGCTGTGTACTTGACCCAAATTTGGTATTAAGCGCCACCGAGAGCTGGGCCCAGGTCACCCGATCGGT